GAGGCCACCGGGCCCGCCGGCCTCCCAGCGTCCCGCCAACCCCGCCGGCTCAACGGCTTTTTTCCTCTAATTTAGGACGCCTGCCGCAGAGCGGGGCAGCAACTGTCTCGGGGAAGGAAGCCCCCGCAGCTTCCACCTCCTCAGCCCCTACACGCTCCACCCCGCCTTACTCGGTACTTTCGGATCGGGGCCACAGGCTCGGCACTCCCCCTAATGGTGGAACTTGTCCCTGCAGCTCCCTCTGTCCCTCCCTAGGGCGCTAAGGGCTGAGAGAGGGAGGGCCGCAGACCCCAAAGAGAAGTGATGAGGACTTTCTCCTCTTCTCGGCCATACTACAAGGAGACCTGTGGCTAGCCAGAAACGGATTCCTATCCTCTTCGGCCCTAAGTAGGATAAAGGGGTGGCGAGGGGGGAGCTTTTTACCTGGTGAAGTCCTCCTCAGCCAGCATGTGCCTAGGGATAGGAGAGTAGCGGGCAGGGGGAACCTGAGGAGGAGCAGGGTAGCTGACCTTGCTCTCCACAGCTCCAAGATAACCCAGGCTGGAATTATGGCTTATGTGGTTGTCAGCCAAGGCAGTAAAAGCTGGAATCAAGAAAAGGAGCGAAAAGTTCAGAGACCACTCCGTGTACGTCCCTACCCCACCCCCGCCAAGGACTGAGGCCCCACACCCCACCTCAGATGCAAAAGCCACCAAGGGATGCTGATTCCTCAGGCCTCTCTTCCCCCCTCCCCCCCTCCCACCCCCGGGTTCCTCCTCCACAGTCCCTTTCTGAATCCTGGGCTCACTCCTGTGAGTCTTAGAAAGAGCTAAAGTCAAGCAGTCTACAAAGAAAGGCATGACTAGAGGTGTGACTAATAATAATCCCTCACATCTCTATAGCCTAATACGGTTTTCCAAGGGCTTTCTCGTCCATGATCTCATTTGATCCTTGCAGCAGTCCTATGAGGAAGGCAGCCCATATATCATTAGCTCCGTTTTGCCAAAGAGGAAACTAAAGACAGGCGAAAGGGACTCGTCCAAGGGCACCCAGCTCTAAGGGATGGAGCTGGGCTCCAGACTCAGTTCTCCTGAGCACTAGCGTGCGCGCGCTCTCTCTCCCTCTCTGAACAGGGGGGTTGAATTCCTTCCCCTCCAGAAACCAGGGGGGCAGGGGCTTCAGACCAGGGGCAGGGCGGACCGGTACGTACTGCTGGCGTAGTCAGGGGGTGCATACATGTCGTTGAGGTGGAGGCTGCCTGGCTTGGCCACCTTCAGATAGACCATGTCAGATGTGTTCTTCAGTGAAGCCACAGCTTCCTCATGCCTCACGTCCTGCAGATTGGTGTTGTTCACCTAGAAGAGGAGAGGCCTTCTTAGGGCTGGCACTGGGGAGAAGGGAGGGCCTCTCCAGGGAACCCCAAAGGTGCCCTATCAGTGAAATTCGACAGGGCTCTCTCTAACGGAGGCCCAGGGTAGTGCTGTGAGAAGTGGAGAAGCATTAAGAGAGCAGAGCAGAAGGGAACAGCCTTGCTCCTTGCCTGACGCCCCAGGCTGAGGGGGCCCCAGCCATGAAAAGAACGAGGCCCTTGGTATCTGAGTGCACACAACTCAGATGGTGATGATGCTCTTGAAATCCCCCCACAATGCTGGGGGCCCCTGAATGAGGTTCAGGTGGACTGAGAGGCTACTTGCGCCCCACCTCCCCACCCTACCCTACCATTTGGGCATCCCCAAAGGCTGTCTCACCGCCAACAGCCGGTCCCCGATCTGCAGGCGTCCGTCCTTCTGAGCAGCACCCCCCTCGATGATCTTGGTGATATAGATGCTGTTGTCTCCTGGGATGTGCTGGTTGCCAATCCCCCCGGCAATGCTGAAACCCAGGCCTGGGTGGGGGCCCGAAGGGAGCGGGAGAGGGCCACAAGGAGAAGTTAGAGTGCTCAGTCAATCCCAGACCCAGCTCCCCACCGCAGCCAACCCACTGGCCCCACGGGAGCACCCCTCACCGCCCCCCCCACGGGGGGGGAACCCAGACACTAGGCTGCCATCCCCAGGTCAGTCAGGGGGAGTGAGATGGGAGGTCAAGAAAGAAGCCTGTGAGCTAGAGCAGGGCGTCAGGCAAGGAGTAAGGCTGTTCCCTTCCATGTCCTAGGGAGCCAACCAGGGGCCTCTGGCCAGAGCACAGGAGCCCAGAGGGCCGAACCTTTGGGCCCTTTGAGCAGGTTGACCTCCATGATGGTCTCAGGCGGGGGCTGTCTCCTCCGCACCACCAACCGCACCACAGGGCCCGCCTCCTTCAGCGCCTCCACGGCCCGGCTGTGCACCACCTCCGACACGTCCACCTCATTCACCCTCAGCACACAGTCATTCACCCTGCGGAGGAAGCCCCAGAGGCATGACACCCTGCCACCGCCCCTCCACCCCCTCTCCCACCTCCTCGTCCTTCCCTCCCCGCCCCTCCCCTGCGCCCTCTGAGATCTAACAAAAGGGTCATCCTGCCGGGGCAGCCCTCCTCCCCTCATGTCCATCCTGCCCCCGCCACCCCCGGCCCAGCTTTCAGGCCACCTCACCCCAGCCTCCCGTCCATGGCAGCTGCTCCACCAGGGATTATCTTGGTAATAAAGATGCCAGGGTCATCGGGGACATGGGGGTTGTCGATGCCACCTGCAATGCTGAAGCCCAGGCCAGAATTGCCCTGCAGAAGGGGGGCGGAGGGGCACAGTCCGCTCACTCAGAGGGCATGAGGGAGGGTTCTGGATCTCCCCGCTTTGCTCCACCCCCCAGAGGCAGGTTCTTTGCCAGGCCTCAGAAGGGGCCACGGCCGGCCGGCACACAGCTTCCCTGTGCCGACCGACCGTTCTAGCACAGAGGCCTCAGCAAAGCCAGCCCTTCCCCAATTCCCCAGGCCTCAGCGAGCAAGGTCAATTAATATCTGTTAGTTGGTTGATTGATTGATTGATGCAGTATGCGGGCCTCCAAGAGCCACCGTTCCCCGCCCCCCCCCCACCAGTCGTCTCAATGCAGGTGCCCCTCCACGAGGCTTGAGCCTGAGGTCCTGGGCCCTTCCCTTTCCTGGTCTGAACCCTCTCTTCCCCTTCCATCCCGACCCGCTGGCAGACTCACCCGCTCAAGTACTATTTCCTCATACTTGAACATGCCGTCGCTGCCATTCACCTACAGGGGAAGACACAGGCACTTCCATGAGTGCTTCCTGCCCTCTCCCCGACCCCCACCCATCTGCCCCCGATCAACCCGCTCCTCCCCCACCCCCCAAGAGTAGCAGCCCGAATTGACCCCAGGACACCTCTTGGCCACAAATGGGGACAGGCTGACCCTGCGGAGGCCACACCCCTCCCTCACTTCCAGCCATGTCAGGCCGACCCCATTTAGCCCAGATCAATTGTCTGGGACTGAGCCAGCCAGTGGTGCACTCACTGAGAGGCTGGGCTCCAGGGCCTCGGGGTTCTCTTAGGAGGGGTGCAGCGCTGGCCTAAGGGGGATGGCGGAAATGGAACATGGTAGGCAAACCACAGCACACCTAGCATCCATGGGTGCACACCCAGTGGCCCCGATGGGGACCTATTCCCCTCCTGGACCGTAGCTCTCCCTGACTTAGGGATCACAGACTCCCACCATGTCCGGACTGGTAGGACAGCAGACACCATCTTGTCCAACCGCCCTCCTGTGACAGACGGTGTGACACTGAGGCCCAGAGAGGACACAGGTTGCAAACCCCAGAGCGCACTGGGGGTTAAGTGGTGGAGCAGGGGTTAGAACCGGGATCTCCAGGTGCTCTTTTGACTAAATCAAGCTGCCAAGGCCACGGGTGTTTTGGCCACTCACCCCCTTCCCCAGCAGACCTCATGAGAAAAGGAAAGGCCACCCTTCAGAATACCCCCAGGAACCCTCCCTCTGTATCTCCTCTGTGTCCCCAGGAACCCGATTCTTCAAACGGGCGGAAGGAGTCAAAGTCCGAATCCATTTTCTACCAAGGGGCTTTTGATCCTGAACTCTTTGTGTTTCCCAGCAGAAAAAGCCGGGGTAGGATCTGGGTGGGAGTCAGAGGCAAAGCCAGGGGCGGGATGGAAGCGGAGTGGACAAGGCTCCCCAGGAGGGAGAAGCTCATGACCCATGGCCTGACTGGCAGCAGAGTCCCTGGCCTTCAGTATACAGCAGCCAAGGGAGGAGAGGCAAGGGAAGGGGATGGAAGCAAGCATTGTTCTGAGCAACCCACAGAACTGGCCTCCCAGACAAGACATACTTGTGGCCATTGTCAAGTGAAAATGTGAGTGTGGGCAGACAAGTAGTCCCTGCTCCCTGGCTCCCACTCTCATCCCCAAGAATGGAGGAACTCCCTTGCCTCTCTCCCCAGGTATCCCAGCCCCCCTCCTCCATCTTTCTCTGGCTGCATTGTCCCTTTCCTGACCCCTGGTGTCCTCCTCTGAAGGGAGCTGCAAACCTAGGGTGGGGGCTCCTTCGTATGCCCTGCTCTACTCCCCCCCACTCCATTGCAGCTTTGGCTTGGAGAAACAGAGAAGGCAGGCAGGGGGGCGGGGGCGGGCTGGCGAGTCATGTCTCCACCTTTTCAGGGCCTGACCCCAGGACTTTATGCCCCGCAGCCCTGGGAGTTGGTGGGAGGACCCCGGCTGCAGCCCCACTCTGGGCCCTGATCCCACGGGGAAGAACCCCCGACGGCTTTTCAGAGCCCCAAAACCAAAACGGCTGCCTGAAGTAACATGCAACAGACACGCAGGCAAAAGGACACCCATGCGGCTCTCTATGCATCTGGTGTACCATGTGTGCCCACATGTGATAAGTAAGCCATGCTTCCATCTCAGCTCCAGCGAGAACCAGAGGCTCCAGCCTCCCGCTGCCCCGCTCAGGGACCCTGCTCCCTGAGCCGGGGGCCATCTGGGCTCAGCCCTGGCAAAGAAACCTTGACCAACTGGCCCAGCCTTGGGACTGGCACCTGTCTGCCAGTTGAGCAGGATAAGCCTGAGAGAGTGTTTGCAAGGGTAGGGCCCCAGGATACGGGGGGGAGGAAAGACGGGGACTCACTGGAGAGGGCAAGGAGCCGAGGCAAGGGCCATGGGGAGCAGAGAGTGTGGACAGACAGAAGGCCAGAACTGAGGACTCTTCTCCCTAGGAAGTCCCCACCTTTGCTGCTGAGTGAGAGCACATTCTATCCCCAGAGGAGGACAGAGGCGGCCAGAACGGTCACCAGCTTGGGGCGGACAGCACCTGCCCTCGACAGCAAAGCCTCTTTCTCCTCTCTCCCTAACCTGGGGGCTGCAGAGCCAAATAAGCAGACAGGCCCTCTGCTATGCATGCCAAGGACCTGGCTCTGCCGGCCCAGCCTCCATTTTGCTGCTTCTCCCACAGATGCTCCTTCCATTTTCTAAGCTGGCAGCTTAGACTGGGAGTAGAATCCGGAGTTGTGCCCAGCACCCAGGGGTTCCCAAGCTGTGCCAAGTCAGGGCTCGGGGGCCAAGTTCTCTCACATCTGGAGGTACCCGAGGGGGCCATGCCCCACTGGGGCCACTCCTGCAGCAGGGCAGCTGCCCCTTGCTTGGCTCCAGGCACCATGCTTGCTTCG